TCGCTTGATGTCTTTCTCGTTTGGGACACCCTAATTCACTTAAGACATTTCTCAAATTGTTCATTAATCTCTGTAAGGCATTTACTGATGTTCTTTGGTAAGGTCGGCCACTGTCTCTGGGACACCTTAAGTCCCTCAATGTCTTTCTCCTTTAGGACAGCTTGAGTCGCTCAATAAGTGCACCAAAACTTTCGCTTTCCTTAGTAAGTCTTCACTGATATTCCGTGGTAAAGTTTTTACTATCCTCAGACCATATTAGATCACCTAATGTCTTTTGCCACTGGGACTCAACTTGATGTATTTCTCCTTTGTAACACATTAAGTCACTTATTCACTGATGTTTCTTGGTAAGTCAATAATTAGCATTGGTATGATTCAAGTAACTAGATGTCTCTTCTTTTAGGGACATTACTAGATGTCTTGGTCTATTGAAACTCTTTAAATCACACAAGATACTCCAAAAGACTGTCACCTGGTCTTGGCAAGTCGGTCACTGAAGTTCCTTAGTAAGTGGTCCACTGTCCTTGGGAAGAGTCACTCTATCTCTTTCTTCTTTTGGACACCTTAAGCCATTTAATGTATGGCACGTCTTTCACTGGCTGTCCCTGACGAATCAGACACATGGCTACTTTTAAAACACCAGGCGACTTTTAGAAACACACAAAGTGACTTATAGGAAACACACAGCAACTTTAATAAAACACAAGCAACTTTTAGAAAACAAAAGGCTGCTTTAAGAAAACACATGGTGACTTTTAGAAAACACAAGGTGACTTTAAGAAAACACAAGGTGACTTTTAGAAAACACAAGGTGACTTTTAGAAAACACAAGGCGACTTTGGGAAAAACACATGGTGAATGTTAGTAATATAGATGTATTCATGGTTAATCCTACGGACAGCAATTATGTGAGCTAACTTTTAATTGTCAGTCTGATAGAAACAATTCTCATATACCCTGTCCAACCATTAAATAAAAACCAGTTATACTGGGGTACACTATAGGCGGCAACGTTTCTGGAGATATATGTGGAGTATTGCTGTATCGGTAGAGTTCATGCTCAATGCAACACTCTAGGAAGGTGCTGGCTAAAAATTGATTCTGAGCACGATAAGACAAAAAATACCCTTTACAACAGAAAATACACACAGATTAATTATCTTTGGCCATTAAATGCTGTTCTCCCAGCAGTTACAATCACATCAAAATAACAAATATGGAAACAAAGGATACTGCAACATAAGAAGCTATTTTTGTTAAACAAATTTTTTCATCTTCTGGGCTTGAGAAAGTAAAATATGCCTAGAAAAACCACGACAGCCAAAAAATGTTGTGGTTGGTTTTACAACGTCCTGTAAAGGATACACAAGTTTTAATGTTGGAAAAGAAAAAGCAGGTTAGGTGCAGACTGTTGAGAGGTCAGAACGATCACTTTATACACTTTAAGTAAGTAAGGGACACTTTTCCACGACACCAGACATATTTGGCATACAGACCTATATTTTATAGACTAATCGACAGTCTGTGGGTGATGGAGTCAACATCGTGCCGGCCGCCTTTACTTCTAGGACTGTATCTGCCACACATTTAAGGCCTGGTCGACCTGGGAGCCAAGGTCGTTTTTCTATCAAAGTCTGGTTCCGTCAGGACCTGAACCCATGACCTTCAGATCCGTCTAGCCACTACACCACAGAGGCTTCCTTCCTGTGTGTTGTGTATTAGTTTTTTTTTTTTTCATCCCTGGTCATTTTCTTAACTGTGAATCCCATGCCTCCTCCTTAGAGAGACTGTCTGTTGCATCTTGTCCTGTTTTTATCGTCCTACCCATCCGTCTAGTTGGTTAGTAATGTATGTCTCGTTCTGTATGCCCATCCATCCACTCTGCCGTGTGTCCTGTCTTTCTGACACGCCTTGTCTGATGTCCGTCCGTCACGTCCGCATCAGATGCCATCAGTCCGTCAACTCCTGCTGTTAGTTGTGCCACGCCTGTCTGTCGCTTCAGATCGTCAAGCATCAGTTCTCTAGGTCTACCTCTGCCTCTTCCACCATCGATCTTTCCAGAAATTACTATATTTTGCAGTGCCTCTCTATACATCACATAACCGAATAACACTGACTGACTGACTGCCTCTTTCTTATAGTTGTATGTAGTTGAGTGGCATATAACGAACCTGATATGTCATATTGTGTCAACCGTTTCAGGCGGAGAGGATACTAGAAAGAGGAAATGCAGTCTAAAAACTATGTTATGGCAGGGCAGACCAGGTCCTTAGCTTTGGCTGGCAGCTGGTCTAGGACGGAATCTCTGACAGCTGGACAGATAGAGCACTCCTCTTCTGATCCGGCAGCTTTTAAAGCCTGCTTTGTTAAAAACATACTGCTGTTACATTTCCTTTGGAGTAAATAATAATAAAGGCCACAAATTAACAAGGCCGAAAATATACCCTAACAGGGCCTCAGTCACATGTAAATTGTGGACCTCTTTCCGGCGACGACACAGTTTACCGTGGAAAAGCTTCTGCAGAGTTAAAGTCACCACCGAGAGTATCTCCTGTGCTTCTACGCGCGGCGTGGAGTGGGACTAAACTAGATGGCTGGGACTCACGAGCAGCAGCTACTGCATCTCCTGCAGCTTCCTTCATTTCATTTTATTTGCTTATGAACCCCGCTATCTGGTTTAGCTTCCACTCTGCGCCGCAATGCGCGGTGCAGGATATACTCTCGGCGGTGGCGGTATAGTCACCGGAAAGTGGTCCGCAATTTACATGTGACTAACCTATCTGTTAGGGTATATTTTCGGCCTTGATAATTTCGAACCGTTATTCGGAGGAAAGCCCATATGGTCTCCACAATACTGCCTAGGCTTTGCGCTATGGAGTGGATGAACTTTATCCCTGGTCATTTTCTTAACTGTGAGCCCCATGTCTCCTCACAGAGCAATATAACACTATCTTCTGGAAAAATGGAAAGGTGCCAATCAATCAGTCATATAGTTATTGGATTTCAATAGCTATCTACAAGCAGTCAGTATTAGTTACTCTGGCTGTCCAAGGTATTCACAGCATGTGTCTGAAAAACCATATCTCCATGACTTCCAAGTTATTCTTAAATCAAACTAATAGAGATAACAATTTCAGCTTCTGAATAATTTATGTCAAAAAAAAACAAAAAACAACATGTAGTTTGATTGTATTTTTCTCCTTCTTTTTTGTTCACCGGCTGTAACCTCCGACAGAAAACCCTGGTTGTTCGTCCATCTAGACTCTGACTTTGTGCCAGGGTCTGCATATTATGAGTTTATCCAATTTACTGGCTTATTTGTGTGCAGCTGGTTGTTCCTTGCCACTCAGGCAGGTGTACTCTGACTTTGAAGAAAGTCCCCAGTTGGTCGACTCCTATGACATGCGTGTTGGGAAGGCAGGGGTTCTTTCCTTGTTATCTCCACAACAAGGCATTGGAACCCACACATACTGTGTTTTGTATTTCATTTTAAAAGCATTGCATAACAAATGTGTAGCTTCTGTACAAAGTATGTCAAAAAGCATGTAGTTTGTTTAAGTTTATTTTATTTAAGTTTCAGTTCAACCTGTGTGAGCTGCATGGTCTTGGGGCATGGTGTCCACCTTGAGTGCTAGAGGTTCCTGGTTAAATCCTCAGTAAGGGCTGAGACTTTTTCACGTGGACTTGGATATTTAGTATTTCCCCAGGTCTCTGGGTAGTAAGATCGGATGCCCGTGTGCACTGCTGTGGACGTCAAAAATCCTTTGGCAGTTGGAAATAAAATAGTAGCCTAACATTGCTACCCAGGCAAAATTTGGAGTTAAAAATCTACCTAAAGTATTTCAGGATCCTCACCGGTGCTACAGAGTCTGTGCACTGTGCTGAGCTTCTTCGGACTCAGATTTGAGTTAAAAGAAGAATGAAGCACTTATGGGTTACTACCCATTTGCCATGATGTTGATCTGTTGTTCAGAACCTCAAACTTCAGTTTAACCTTTTTCTTTCAAATAGTTTCATTATGAGTCTTGTGTAATGGTTTCCCTGTGTGGGTTTCAAGTCCATATTGGGGGGGGGGGGGGGGAGACCCACTGCCTCTCCTTAACAAGCATGTCATAGAAAGCCACTAATTAGGGTTTTTTCCTTTAAAGCGCTTATGCCTTAGAGGCAAAGAACTAACAGTCTACACACAAATAAGCCAGATTTTTTAAATGGATATGCAGGCAAAACTCAAGTTCTGTAATGAGACCGAAGTCCACAAGTGCATGAACAACCACATTTTCCGCAAGAGCTTACAGCCATTGAATGTGAAAAACAAGAAGTGTAAATGAGTGACTTATGTATATTGGTACTATATATGGTTAACAATGAAAGCTAGAACATAGGATTAATAAAAAGTTCAAGTTCAAAACAAAAGGTTAAAGGTCATTCTCTATGCCTTGAGATGTACTGGGAAATATGGTGCTATTTCTGTATGTTTATAGACCAGCCACCAATCAATAGGGAATGTGGTTCAACACTAGAAAGGCAGTTTGTCATTGATGAAAGTAGCAGTTACAAGAGATCAGTAGATGCAAACATCATTATTCTGCACAAGACACCAAGAGCTCTGGCAACAGGTTACTCATCAGTTTCTGAATTTGCGGTTCAAAATATAAACTGCATTAAACGCAGATAAAAAGCATTTTAAATGAAGTATGCAGCTCACCGCGTTACACCTTGCACTCAATTCACTAGCTGGGTGACATAACTGTATCATATCAATCTACATATTGAGAAAAATGCAATGGCTAACTATTGTAAGAAGCAAAAACTTGCCACGACTCAGACAGTAATCCATCATTTTGACAGGAAGTCCTCCTCTCATTAATATGCACAAGATCTGCATGTTTTGATCAAACTTGTATATAACTTAACCTCCTAGATCCATCCTTCCCTCCAACTGCTCAACCAGTTAAAACTAAATAGAAGAGAAATGCTAAAGAACACTTGGGAAAACAGTATTATGAATATGTGAGGAGTCTTGTTGCTGTTAGGAGCTGGTACACACAGTCCACAAACTGAAAATTGGTGTCCTTGATCCTGTCCAGTGCATTTTCACTTGCCACACAGGATACCAGATGGTACAAGGTGGATTTAAACTGTAAAAAGCAGAAACATTAATGAAAGTTAAGAACACATATTCATAATCTTTATGGAAGCAGATATGAAAAGAATATAATGCTTCCACTCCAGATGTATTCTTTAAATGCTGGAAATAAAATTACAGATCTGATATGACTGAATCAAAAAGAAATAAAAACTTTAGATCTAGAGTTTTCCTGTTAAAATAACAAAACACTTTTGAATTCCTGGTAGGCCATGCATAGTTTAAATTCCAAAACTGACCTCAGATTTATCAGATTTTATATTTTTTCTTTTCAGTTCTAGAACGTGTGCGTTCCGGGGCCCCATTGTGGGGAAAACAAGAATAGACCCACTGCCTCCCCAAAAGCATGTCGTAAGAGTCGACTAATTGGGGAGCTTCCTTTGAAGTCGGAGTGCATCTGCCGGAGAGGCAAGGAACCAACAGTCTGTATTCAAGAGAATGAGATCTGTAAAACTGATGCACACGCAACACTCAGGTTCTGGAGCAGGACTGCAGTTCAGTAGTGGACGAGCAACCAGAACCTTCCGCCAGAGTTTACAGCTGGTGAACGCAAAGAAGAAGAAGAAGTTCTAGAACCTCTAACCACCTTTTGATAATCTGTGTGTTGGTATTTTCAGTTACATGTTTATGTCTAAAGGATGAGTGTAAAATTATTACCAACCACGACCTGGAATTAGCTTCCCAAAATTTGTTTACAAATTGTGGTTTCTGAGTGTGTACTCTAAGAGTACACTCTAAGAATAAAAGTCAGTTAACATTCTAAGAGTTCTCCACAGTTAATTACTCAGTGCAGTGAAACATTTCATATTCACACATTTGGATAAAAATAGATCTCAATAGCTGAAAGACATAACAGACATGATACAAAATAAACAATTAGTACCAACAATTTAAATTTTAAATTTTAAAAATGAAAGAAAACACCAAAATTACTCAGTGTAGACACAATTTGTTTGTAGCTGCAGGGAAAGTAAAAACCAAACAACCATTGTTTCATGGTAATGGAACAGAGGTCATTGTAAAATATGTGAGATCAGAAACCAAATCAGTATAATGACTATTTAAAAACAACTATACAACAACAAATTATGACTTTGCAAATTATGATTATTATTATTATGCTCCTGCTGCTCCTCCTCCTGCTCTTCTTCCTGCTCCTCCTCGTCCTCCTCTGCTCCTACTCCTCCTTCTTCTTCTTCTTCTTCTTTTGTGTTTATCTTTAAAAAGATGGTTGGCACATTGTGTTGCGGTAACAGCACGGTTTTGATATCAGCAACTTCTGGCCAAACACCCCTAATTAATTGCAATTTACTACATGCCTATTAGGGCAGCAGTGGTCTATTCCCACCCCCAAATGAACAGCCAGAACCCTTACGGAGATACAAATTTTAAAATCTATGATAAAATACAATTAGAATATACATAAAAAGAAATATACAAAGCACAGTTTTTGCAGAAAAAAAAACAACAAAACTCACTGTTATTTCTTCTGGGCCTTCCTCACTAAAGTTATCATCAAATTCTGTCATTTTCAGTTTCTTCGCGTGGCGTTTGGTAGCCAGAAACACAGACCACTCTTCCTGTTGAAACAAAAAATACTCATAGTAGACACTTCCACATATTTTGTACATAAAATGTGAACAACGTTAAACATAAAACATGTAAATAGATTTTTTGAATTTTATATGATTTAATTGCATTATACCTTGTACTAGATTCATTGAGAAACGGCAGATCAAGTGGTTTGGCCATTTCATTAGAATGCAGCAAGATCAAATACCATTACAAGCACTACATCTAAGAAAATCAGAACAAGAGCAAGAGGACAGGCGCGGAAAATATGGATTGACAACATTAAAGACACTATACGCCTTCATGGCATGACAATATCCAGTGGCAGCCAATGTGCACTGGATCGCAAATTATTCCTCCCCACGACGCTCAATGGCAGAAGTGGTTTATGATGATGATGATTAATCTAATCTTATCTTATACTCTACTTACTGTATTGTATTGCATTACATTATACTAGATTTACTTCTCGGCTTCCCCAGGAATGTTAATGAAAATGCTGTTTTCTTATCCTCTACTTCATTTTTTTATTCCCTGCTCTGAGGTTCCTCCACCCCAGCAAAACATAGTTTTGTCAAACTTAGTCTTCAAGGTACATAACAAAATATATGTAGGTACTCAGAGGAAATAACTTCAGTGATGTTTACATTTAGTTATTGTGGCGTTAATTATCAGAACTATGTAGAAACTTTGTTGCAAACAGCTCAGTTAACCTAGACCTGCATTCAGAATGACATCTGCAAATTTCACCCCTCTACTGGTCACCATTTTGGAGGAGTTTTTGCTGCAGAGAAATTTACAGAAAGACAGATACATGGCTTTTCAGTAACATAACAATGCACTGTATTATAATGAATTAAATGACACTACACAAATTTGAGTTCTAAAAAACATTACTGAATGAAATCAAGGTTAAACAATTAAAATTATCCAAGATGATAAAGAGAGAATCTCTTTCTAAGCAATTTACTGGAAGAAGAAAAATGGAGAAAAATGCATAAGAAATAAGATTAAATCACACGTGTGAACCACATCAAGAGTTGGACAAAAAGAAGCATGCATGAGTTCACCACCAATGTGGAGAAGAGAGCTTTGGAAATCATTACAACTGACTTTCAATGTAGAGACTGTAAGTAAAAAGTAAAGATCCTTTCTCAAGCCTTTAAGCACATCATGTATGGGAATGACACCCATATATTTACAGACCAATCGGCACTAGGGGGTGGGGGGTAATGTGGTCAGCATTACGCTGGCCATCTTTAAATCCCCAGGACATCCATCCTGGTACCCATTTTAGGCTGGGTCGAACTGCGATGCCCCATACCATTATAAAAATCTGCGCAGCCAGTAGTGGGTTTTGATCGCGGTACATTAGAATTATGAGTTGGACTCGCAACACCTAAGCCACGGACGCTGCAATGTGGAGACAGCACTTTAAGATATTTTTTAATGAACCATACATTACATTTAAGACAATGTTGGGCCACATCAAGTTGCATACAGCATACTAATGCATGAATATAGTTACTTTACTTGTTAATCACAATCAGGTCAATGTAGGCTGGGGTACTCCAAAACTGACATGCCACTTGTGCCAACAGCTTCATGTGGGCAGCACATAAGGAAAGATACTAGCCAAATCCTAGAAAAAGGAAATGCAACCTGAAACTCAATATTACGGCATGGAGAACAAGAGCCTTTATCTTGGTCGGCAGCTGGTCTAAAAGAGCTCTGACAGGTAACAGAGCACTGCTCTTTTGATCTGGTAGCAGGCTGTGTTCCATACATACTTGTGTTACCTTTCTACTAGAGTTAACAAAGCAGACCAAGAGAGGGATCATGCTGCATGAGCAACACCTGGTTTCGACAACACTGCACTGGGATGTGATATGGAGAGGAGGAACCTCATCCCTGGGCTTAATTAGTCTCACCATGAGTTGTAACTCCCATGTCTTTCGCTAGTGGAGCACCATCGTCTCGAAATATGGAAAGGTGCCAATGAATGTGTTAGTAATTCTAGATGGAAAGGTGCCAGCTTGTTAGTAATTCTTTCTAATTATATAACTCTTTACACTATGATCACATACTTCCATCAATGGCCCATCATCCATGGACTCAGCTGCTTGGAAAACAATCTCATCTCTTCCTCTTTCGCCATTCCATTTTGACCAGGCATAGGCCATTGAGGAAGCAGTCAGCGCCATCTGCTGGTAGACTCTGTCTTCCGCTAGAGGATGCTGTTGTTTAATGGAGAGGAAATTAAAAATTCAGAAGTGATCCACATTAACATAAAGCATTAAATGAATAAAAAGTTTTGTAATGAGTTGTTTCAAACTAAAAATAAACAATTAAACCGAAAACAAAACTATACTGCATACATTATTTTTCTTTAGTAAAGTCTTTATTTTTTTAATTCAGAAAAACCGAAAACAGAATACATTTTAGACCATAAATATTTTCTGAACAAAGTAGGCATATGCCTAACAGGCAAGTGCAAACTTTTTTTTTTTTAATGTATAAACTAGTTAACCAAAATAAAAACAATTAACAAATGGAAAAAAAACAGTTATTTTCTTCACACACACACGCATGCACGTACACATGCGCACACACACACACACAAAACAAAACAACCTTACCTTATTCTGGATACTGACAAATCGTGATGAATCCTCATTAGGAAATATATTGATTCCCGCCTTTTTCATGTTCTGAAACCATTAAAAAAGTAAACAAAAATAACAGAAAAACCAGAACAAAATTCCAGGGCAAATCTATTTTTAGAAGTAATGCAACAAGGCAGAAGAAGTAAATGATAAGAAATTACCAATAGTACAACAATTCTATTATTATAACTTTTTGAAGGTCTGTAGAAACAGGCCAGTTTAACAGAAATGTCTGCTCAGCATACTTAATTTGAAGGATGAAACTATCAAACATTTAAAAAAAAAAGAAAAATGAAGAAGCATGAGAAGCTGAAAAGAGGAAAAAAAGCACAATCATTATGTCTTGAAAGAATCTGACTCATAAAAAGTTCCTATATCAGAAGTTTTCAATCCCTATTTTTTGGACACATAAAAAAAGGCGGTGGGGCAAAACTCTAAAATATTATGACACTAGAAAGTTGGAGGGAAAGAGATGGCAGGGGAGGTAAAGAGAGAGGGTCTTAGACAGCCAGACATCATGACACAGAAGAGCATATATACCTAGCATAATTAACAGTACATGAGACAGAAGGCTGAGGATAGAAATGATAACCAATGCCATATATTCAACAAGAACAACAAAAATAGCTGTGTATCCTTTACAGGAAGTTGCAGGTCCAACACCAGTATTTTTTTAAATCTATGGGCTGAAAGGAGTTTCTGGGACCTGTCAGTATTGTAGGGGCTTTTCAAACTTTTTTTTTTTAACTAGGCAGTTTTACGATCACTAGATTGCCGTTGCCTACTGAGTGGTCAGCTTTCATTAGCATTGTTGAAATCAATGCAAGGTGGTCTGCTGCCAAACTGCTCATAGCTCGAATAGAAACAGACATCTTGGCATTACAAATCGTATTCACAATGTTTAAGCCACAGACGCTAACAAATCCACATAGCATATCCTCGCCCTCAAAAGTCTGCTCACAAATAAGCCAGGTCTGTAAAACATGCGTGTGCATGTGTGTGTGTGTGCCCCTGCCCGCGCGCGCGCGTTTGTGTACACACATATGCCCAGCGCGCTTGCTAAGTTGGTAAACTGGCGACCGGGTGAGAAACTCCTTGTGGTCCAAGTACATATATATGTGTGTGTATGTGTGCATGTGTGTGTGTGTGTGTGTGTGTGTGTGCGTTTGTGTGTGTATTTTTTTTTCCCTAAGATTTGAAAAAATATTTACCAGAATCAGTTCAGCTGGAGTGACCCATCTACCTCTGATAGACTTTAGTTCGGGTCTGTCCTGTGGTTCAGTAAGACAACACAGAGCATCCTGGAAAGAAAATAAGTGTTGGCATGTTTTTTTAATTAAAGGACCCTTTTCATGTTATCTATGCACTTGGCATGTAATGCTAGACACATGTTTTTACAGACCCATTGGCACTTGATGAATTATATTGCCAACATTCTGGTGGTCAGCTTTTGTTTGTGTCAACATTCTGCTGGCCATTTTTGTTTGTGTCAACATCCTGGTGGCCAGCTATTGTTTGTGTCAACATTCTGCTGGCCACTTTTGTTTGTGTCAACATTCTGGTGGCCAGCTTTTGTTTGTGTCAACATTCTGGTGGCCAGTTTTTGTTTGTGTCAACATTCTGCTGGCCACTTTTGTTTGTGTCAACATTCTGGTGGCCAGCTTTTGTTTGTGTCAACATTCTAGTGGCCAGCTTTTGTTTGTGTCAACATTCTGGTGGCCAGTTTTTGTTTGTTTCAATATTCTGGTGGCCAGCTTTTGTTTGTGTCAATATCCTGGTGGCCAGCTTTTGTATGTGACAACATTCTGGTGGCTAGCTTTTGTTTGTGTCAACATTGTGGTGGCCAGCTTTTGTTTGTGTCAACATCCTAGTGGCCAGCTTTTGTTTGTGTCAACATTCTGGTGGTCAGCTTTTGTTTGTTTCAACATTCTGGTGGCCAGCTTTTGTTTGTTTCAACATTCTGGTGGCCAGCTTTTGTTTGTGTCAATATCCTGGTGGCCAGCTTTTTCCCAGGACATCTCTTGCTCCCTTGTTTTATAGTGGGTTAGTCTGGAAGCCAATTGTTAAAATTTTAACAGAACTAAATGTATAGATGACTTTAATGCCAGACACCTACTCTGATCTCAATCTGGACTTCAACAATGGCAGCCGTGATTGAAAGAACAGCACTGTTTATTTTGCGTGGTCTCATCTCCCACGACTGGAAGGGCATGTTAATGTAACTGTCCTGAAGCAAACAAAATGTTCCAAACTCTGCTGTTTTAAATCCAAATGTCCTGGCATCTGAAAGAAAAATATAACACTATAAATGTTTCTCCCATGAAATCATTTGTACCATAGGTACAAAACATTATTTAGTATGTGATGAAAAAAAAAAAAAAAGAGACACAGTGAGTATCTATAAATCAAATATTAGGTAAAGATCAGGGAAGAGTAAGAAAAAGGTCTAGACACTAACACACAAAATAAAAGTGGAGAAATCAAAGATAATGTGGAGAATAACAATAAAATATTCCACACACATACACAATATTTAAAAAAAACAACGAAATTTGAATGCAGTTTAAGAAAAATATCACTTTAACAGCCACTGTTGAAAAAATTAGTTTAAATAGGTACATGAAAATAATAAGGACGTTAGTAGTGGGGATTAAAATAATGAGGGAATTAATAATAGGGATGATCATCATTATGACTTTAACTTTACACACTCTTACATATGTATTTGGATATGAATTAGTTTTGTAGGCACAAACAGACAAGATGGATGCTGATACACTCTGTGTCTATAACAGAGCATGTAAATAGATGTAACTGCTAAAATTTTGTTGTTGTTGCCGTTGACCTTACTGCCAGGTTGGTTGAGCCTAAAGTGGGTACTAGGCAATTTCTGGCTATTAAAGTTTGCTAAACTGATCTTCTTTTTTTTCTTCTAATGTCCTACTGCTTATACAGTGTAGCTTGTGTTAATGTCACACTGCATTTCTTTTATTCCATCACTCATCTCTTTCTTGGTCGGGCCTCCTGACTTCTAGCCTGCTCTTCTTATGTAGTATGCTCTAGCTGCTGGCTGATTTTGTTCCATTTTGATCAGATGGCCAAACCATTTGGTTCTTTGATATTCTATTAAATCATTTATTCGCTTTGCCTCTTTGCCCACCACCATTTTTAGTTCTTTACTGGTACTCTTCTTGTTTTTCCCTGCAGCATTTCTTATACATCTCATCTCAAATGTTGTTAATTTTTGTGTTTATGTTTTTCTCGGACTCTCCATGTATGGTACTGATTGCACAAAGTTTTTAGGAATAGTGTATTTATTAGCTGTAAAAAAATATTTATCAAAATTTTTGAGCGCTTGGAGAGAAAAAAACAAATTCCAATGAATCAAAAGGTGGAAAAAACGACCCTGGTATAGGATAGAACACACACTGAGAAAACCTGAGAACAATATAACTAGAATGTCAGTGCAATGAACCCACAAAAACACATAAGGCAGCTGGAGAGTGAAGTTTAAAAAAATGTGGGGTGGCATAGGGTGAGCAAAGGATGGGACAATGTGCGTTGTTTGAAGGCCTATGCTCTACTGGAGGAATAAGGTCAGAAGAAAAAAAAAAACAATGTTGATCACATCATTCACCAAGTGCCTATTTGTATACAAATGCAGTTACAATCTTCGTAGCAAAGGGTCACATCATAGTTGCCTCATACCTGTGTCAACAACAACAACAACAACAACAACCACATAGAATGCCCATGACTGATGCTTGTGAAAAACAAAATTGACACAGACTGCAGGTTTAGCAAATCCAACAGCATACATGCGCATTAAACACAGAAGGCAGCAGTCAGAAGTGCCAACACAAATAACCCAAAACTAGAAATGCAGTTTATCATCAATGGAAGCAGTAGTTAAACAGATCGGTAGTGGAACATGCAATTATTTGCAGAAGGCACCTCAAGTTCAATGGCAACAGGTCACTCATCACATAATTTAAATTGATAGACATCAAATATAAGACAGAAAGGCACCATAACATAAATGGATCCTAAGGGAGCAATGATCTATACATAGCAATACAAAATTCTTAGATTTTCCTTGGTCCCTCTTGCTCAGGCCTACTCTGCTCTCTGCATAAACTCTGGTACTGACATTTTTCTATGGCATTGTGAAAGGCTATAGAGTATTCCCTCTCATACTTTTATTTCTTTTATCACCAATATCTCCAGCTGTCACAATGTGCTCTAGCATTTCTCTTTCCATATGGCTGAAAATCGTTGACTGTATCTTGTTGATCTTCTTCTGCACTTCCTCCAGTTACTTCACCAAACTGTTTGGGTCAAATGTAAGGATTTTCTGTGTGCTCTTTCCAATCTGCTGTATAATTTAGTCTTTATTTTCTTAAGACTGTTCTTGATGCCATCATTCCATCTTATGTGAGGTCTTTCGCTTGCTGTGAGTCCAATAAACTTATTCAGCATACAAATGGTTGCAGGCCTAGTCTTATAATTTCTTCATTTTTAATTTTACTCCTTTTGGTATTAGGGATATATTGCTTTGTGTCTTAGCTTTTTTCAAAATATAAACAAGTTTGGATTGCTTATTTTGGCTATTAAATTAATTTTCAAAATTTTTCTTCAAAACTACAACTCTGTCATTTTAAAGAATTTATTTTCTCATTTACTAACTGTCCAAGATTCACAGACACATGTTAAATTACCTTCATCAAAGGAAAGGTCTGAGAATCCCCTTGTAGTCCAGAACTTTCTTGTGTAATCCCAACGGGCAACTTGTGGCTGCTCAAGAAAGATAACATCTTCTGGAAGGCTAAAAAGAAGGTCAAAAATAGAGCTGACTACAGTTTGGCTGATACTAAAAACCAAATGGACACAGAATATAACAAGGAAGTTCCGTAAATAATTTTCTGGAGAAATATTTCAGTTTACCATTATTTTATTAATAAAAACTCTGGCTGAAATGCTGAGTTGTTTCTTCGTATGTCATTATTTCTAAACATTGTACCAGTTATATTCTGTGTTTGTCATTATTTCTGAACAGTGTACCAGTTATATTCTGTGTATGTCATTATTTCTGAACAGTGTACCAGTTATATTCTGTGTATGTCATTATTTCTAAACATTGTACCAGTTATATTCTGTGTTTGTCATTATTTCTGAACAGTGTACCAGTTATATTCTGTGTATGTCATTATTTCTGAACAGTGTACCAGTTATATTCTGTGTTTGTCATTATTTCTGAACAGTGTACCAGTTATATTCTGTGTATGTCATTATTTCTGAACAGTGTACCAGTTATATTCTGTGTATGTCATTATTTCTGAACAGTGTACCAGTTATATTCTGTGTATGTCATTATTTCTGAACAGTGTACCAGTTATATTCTGTGTATGTCATTATTTCTAAACATTGTACCAGTTATATTTTGTGTATGTCATTATTTCTGAACAGTGTACCAGTTATATTCTGTGTATGTCATTATTTCTGAACAGTGTACCAGTTATATTCTGTGTATGTCATTATTTCTGAACAGTGTCCAGTTATATTCTGTGTATGTCATTATTTCTGAACAGTGTACCAGTTATATTCTGTGTATGTCATTATTTCTGAACAGTGTCCAGTTATATTCTGTGTATGTCATTATTTCTGAACATTGTACCAGTTATATTCTGTGTATGTCATTATTTCTGAACAATGTACCAGTTATATTCTGTGTATGTCATTATTTCTGAACAATGTACCAGTTATATTCTGTGTATGTCATTATTTCTGAACATTGTACCAGTTATATTTTGTGTATGTCATTATTTCTGAACATTGTACCAGTTATATTCTGTGTATGTCATTATTTCTGAACATTGTACCAGTTATATTTTGTGTATGTCATTATTTCTGAACATTGTACCAGTTATCTTTTGTGTATGTCATTATTTCTGAACATTGTACCAGTTATATTTTGTGTATGTCATTATTTCTGAACATTGTACCAGTTATATTCTGTGTATGTCATTATTTCTGAACATTGTACCAGTTATATTCTGTGTATGTCATTATTTCTGAACAGCGTACCAGTTATATTCTTCGTATGTCATTATTTCTGAACAGTGTACCAGTTATATTCTGTGTATGTCATTATTTCTGAACATTGTACCAGTTATATTCTGTGTATGTCATTATTTCTGAACAGCGTACCAGTTATATTCTGTGTGTGTCATTATTTCTGAACATTGTACCAGTTATATTCTGTGTATGTCATTATTTCTGAACATTGTACCAGTTATATTCTGTGTATGTCATTATTTCTTAACAGTGTACCAGTTATATTCTGTGTTAATTCAGTTTTAGGAAAGAAGAAAAACACTCAATTAAATTTGTTTAAAAAGGTGGATACAAGAAACTAAAGATGCACTGGAGAACCAGCCAGAGACAGATAAACTTTCTGGTGTGGCCATGACAAGTACGATGTTCAGACCTGCTGATTGATGATGTGATGTTTTTTAAATTATTTGTGAGTTACTGACTTCTCTTATTTATAATGCTACAATACAGACATGATAAATGAGTTCTCCTACGTACACCATATTGACAGGAATTGGAGGTTTCTCATCCTTCTTTGCATCTTTGTTATCCTTGTTATCCTTGTTATTGTCACCAGCATGTGAGTCAGCTACATAGTCCAGAAAGCTGATTTCAGGAGGATCAATCACTGAAAGGGAAAAAAAAGCAATACACAGAGTCATGAAACATTCTATCCTGTCATGTTATCACAAAAGGGATTGAAGAAGTATCCAAAAGAAAATATAACACAAATGATGAGAGAAGCCAGAGGTGCTGGACTGTATTCCATCCATGAGATCCAAGTGATTGCACAGGATAGACCAGACTGGAGGAAGAGACTGTGAGCCCTGTGTGACAATATGGCACTGCTCATTTAGCATTCCCATGCATACCGAGTCCTCTGACTAAGCAGCCAATCCAAGGTACTTTTACTAATGGCTCCTATGAAAAGCTGATTATAATCTCTCTTATCTGAACTCATTAGAACTGGTCAACGCTAACAGAAGCAGGGGACAGAAATCAAGGTAAGTGGACACATTACATGACATACAAATCAACAGCTTTAATACTATACCAGGATTCAAACCAAAAGATGATACATTGCGCTGTAGGTACAAGTGTACTTCATGATAGGCATAAATAAGATGTCTACATTAGACAGACCTGTCATCCACCTAAACTAGTTTGGAATATAACCCAAATTCTCCTTGTGTGGGTTCAGGGGCCCCTTTAAGGGAAAAACAAAAATAGACCCATTGTCTCCCTAACAAGCATATCATAGTGCATCTCCCAAGTTGTAGTGCATCTCCCAAGTTGTAGTGCATCTCCCAAGTTGTAGTGCATCTGCTTGAGAGGCTAGGAACCAACAGTTTGCATTCAAAGGCATTCGCACAGTCGATAGGAGACTCACTTTCAAATCCAGCTGCAACTCGCTGCAGCCCATGGCCGGTGTTTGAAACTGGACAGTTCCAGGTGTTCACCCAGCCTCTAGAAAATGGTTACCAGAGTTAATACTAAATGGAGGAACATGGCTGTAGCTATAGAGTTGCATGCGGACGGTGACACAGGCAGACAGTTTCTTATCAGCTGTCCGTACTAGTGGCAGAGCACTTATGGTTTATAACCGTGTGCAATGATGCTGGTTCACATCTCCCGACTTTACTTTTTACCTTTTAGTTTGCATACAAATAAGCCAGAATTCTAAAATTAATGTGCATGCAACACTAAATTTCTGGAACAAAACTTAAGTCCAGAAGTGGATTAACAACCAGAACTCAGCCAGAGTTAACAGCCTGAGAACGCAGAGAAGAAAAACAACCAAATTCATATCTAGCCTTAAAAACAAAAAGCACCACATGTTTCAGAATTGTATGTTAACTAAATATAGATCCAAGCAAATAACAAACATATTGAATCATAATACTGTGTCTAAGTAAAGACCCTGTCTATGCCAGTGGTCCGCTGGGTATATGATGCTAGACTTATCTTTAAAGACCGATTGTAAACTATACATGGATGATATGGTCAATATCACACCAGTCACCTTTACTTCCCATCACATTTCCTGCCAGAAAACTGATAGTGCCTTATGCAATCAAATGGGTGTGCAACTACTGATCTGTTGTAACTGCTGCTTCTATTGAGGATGAACTGCATTTATAGGGCTGGACTGTCAGTGTTGGCACTTCTGATGGCTGACATTTGCATTTAATGCATGTTTATGCTTTTGGCTTTGCTGAGACTGTCATCTGTGTACATTTATTTCACAAGGGACAATAACGGACATCTAGTGTGGTCTTCGTTCCCACTGGAATGTAGAAACTATGGGGGTAACCCATCTTCTATAAAGTTGGAACTACGATCACATTGCCTGGTACTCATTTTAGACTCGGCCAACCTGGCAGCCAAGGTCAGTTTTGAAACAAAGTCAGCCTTGATTGGGATCCGAACCTAAGACATTGCAGGTGAGTGTCTAACTACCATGCTACTGCAGTTCCTAGTAATGTGTCTAGTACATGATAAACAATTAAAGAAGGGATGTGATTGGTTCGTTCTGTCGAGTTATAACTCTTCAAAAATCAAACAACTCACTATGGGTATCTGGAGCAATTTTAAGATTATATAATTTACCAGCTGTCTTCTGTCACAGAAGAATGTTATACCATTCCTTATTGCCTAGATTACTAATTCAACTTCTTATGTCTCATTTTTCTCTATACTAAACTCTTTAGGGCCAAATTATTTGCTGCTTTTAAGCTAAACACTATGAGGTAGAAGGTGATAAAACAACTAAGGAAGAATCCAACAGCTTAGTAAATGTTTCCAGCCCCAGTTTAATTTTTATATCCTTTGTGAAATAAAACCATATGCCTATGACCTTATTTTGCTTTAGTCCAAGAAATAAAAACAAAACATATGTGATTACATTGTGTTATAATCCAAGATCCAATAGTCTTTGGCTGAGGTGGCATTTGGAGTAGATCAAACATATAAACGCCACCAAGAATATCGTTAGCTCTGAGATCTATAACATCATCTTCTTCGTCAAAGTCCTCCCATTCAGGCATTTCTAGAAAAAGACAAAAACAATGAACTATTTAAGTCTCAGAATATCTGGCATCAGATTCCCAAGGAATAAAATCAATTTGAAAAATTACAGTGCACTATATTCCTAGGGCTTAATATAAAAATGCATGATGGTGATCACATCATCCCTTGAGTGCTAATTAGTCTATAAATATAGGCCTAGCACTATGAACTGAAGAGCACTATGAACTGAAGAGCACTATGAACTGAAGAGCACTATGAACTGAAGAGCACTACAGCTGAAGGTGCGCAAAAGGGTCCCTTCTTTTTCTTTGTACTTTTTTTTTTTTGTATTCACTTTTTTATTTTTGTATCTTTTACATAAAACATTCATTGGAAGCTGTGGAATTTCAGTGGAAAGATCCTTGTCTACTGGCCTAAAAGTCTTAGGTTTGAATCTGCATCAGTGTAGGTTTTATAATTAATCTTGGCTCCCAGGTTGCCCCATCCTAAAATGAGTACTAGTATATGTCATAGGGAATAAAAGGGTAGTAGTAGTAGTAATAGTACATTTCTACCCCACCAGGACATCACACAGAGAGATAAACACCCGATGACACAAAGTGCCACCATGCCGATGAGGAACACCCGTGGAGACGTCCCGGAAACTATGTTCAGCCATCTGGCTATATTGCAGCACCTGGCAAAAGCCATGGTGGGGCTTCAAAAAAATGAAAAGTTGCATCCAAAAAGGGGATGACGATATATATATATATATATATATATATATATATATATATATATATATATATATATATATATATATATATATATATATATATATATATATATATATATATATATATATATATATATATATATATATATATATATATATATATATATATATATATATATATATATATATATATATATATATATATATACATATGTAAAAGGGCATAGATAGGTAGTTGTACCCCACCAGGACATCACACAAGCGATAAACACCCGGGGACACAAAGTGCCACCAGTGGAGAGGTCCCAGAAACCCCTTTCAGCCGTTAGGACATATATATGGCCTCTGACAGAAGCCAGGGTGGGGTTTCAAATAACTAAAAATTGCATCCCACAAGAAAACAACTCATAAAAGGGTAGTGGTAGTGGTATTATTACCCCACCAGGACATCACACAAGTGATAAACACCTGATGATACAAAGTGCCACCATGCGGATGAAAATAACCTGTGGAGAGGTCCCGGAAACCGTGTTCAGCCATTAGGCCATATTTATAGCTGGACTATATTACGGCTCCTGGTAAGAGCCAGGGTGGGGCTTCAAAATAACCAAAAACTGCATCCTACAAGAAGATGACTTGTGTATTATAAAAGGGCACATTGTTGATGACACAAATGAGTGACAATTAAACCATAAACATGAGTATGTATAGATCCATATATCTAATGCATCAACAGCATGAAAAGTTTTAAAACATATAAAAGTGATCTTTTGGAAAGTTAGATGTTTTTGTTAGTGCTTCTATTAAAAGTATCAAGTATAAGAAGATAGTGTGGATTTTTGTCGTGGTATGGGACGTCGCAGGTCGACCCAGCCTAAAATGGGTACCAGGATGGGCTGTCCTGGGAAAGTAAAGACAGCCGGCGTAATGCTGACCACATTACCCACAGAGTGCTGATGGTCTGTAAAAATATGGGACGCTCTGCCCATATGCCCGATGCGCCGAAAGGTGTGAAAGGGGATCTTTACTTTTTTTTTTATAAGAAGATATGCAGTGGCTAAGAAGCCAATCATTCACAAAACATAACTTGAGATGAAAAGAGATAACACTTATTTCCCTTATTCTGATGCGGGCAATAATTTCTTTTATGAGTTCATTTCTTTCAAGATATCTACATTTTGTTCTGCAGCTTCCATCTAATTTCTGTAGATCAGAACCCTTAAGGATTCTCTTATCTGAATTGAACTTTCAAGTTGGATATAAACGCATTACCTGGAGTTGGTGGATTTGGGTAGTCCTCCTCAACTATCTCCACAGTCTGCTCATCTTCCTTATGCTCTTCCACATCACCATTTTCTGGTGGTGACCTCAGGGCAGCTAATAAATCCTGCAGTTGCAGAATAGGACAACACAAGTCAGATTCAGAATTAGCTTACAAAACTACTATCTTCACACAAAAGTCTTGGTCTCATAATATTTTATAATAACAAAATTAATGTGTGTGACTATCTCCCAATCCTTAAGGAATCAAACAGGGGCTTTTGAATTGAAATTCTTTAGAAAGATTCTCAGAATATAATGAACAAAGAAGAAAAGAAATACTGACATTCTAGAAGATCTGAATATCAAGGAAGATTGGCTAATAAACAGCATCTTGTCTCAAGATGAAGAGGGACACAGAGTATAAGTGATTTCTTGGATATGAAAGTGCATGAAGTGGGACAGCTGACCAGAGACTGAGTTTCTTTCAGGTAGACTGTGATGACAGCAATGTTCTCCAAAGTACCTGCTACAAGATGATGATGAATATGCATCATTTCTTTTATCAATATCAGCCCCAATCCGCAGGTTCTTTACAGAAGATCACTTCCTTCGTGGCACACATGAAAGTCTCTCTTTCTGCAGCCAGTTCTCCAGCCTTATGCACTTTAAGAGACAATGCACCTTCAATGTCTTGTATCTATCTTCACAGAGGCTGACCTGTTTCTCTTTTCCTGGAAAATGTACCCTTCATAATCATTTTTTCTGCAGGCCAACATGACGGTTTAACATAGCCAAAATTCCTAAGCTTTTGGAACAGGAGGCTGTTTACAAGCCAATTCTCCTTGATGTACAGATTATGTAGAATGTTGATATTTTTCTTTTTCTTAGTCAATGGTATTCCAAGATTGTATCTGTAACATTTCATTTCAGTAGCACCAATCCCCCCCCCCCACCCCCCATCAATACAAAGAGTAAGAGTCACTACTACTACTATTACTACTACTGCAGCTGCTGCTGCTCCTGCTGCTTCTTTCTTTCTTTCTTTCTTTCTTTCTTTCTTTCTTTCTTTCTTTCTTTCTTTCTTTCTTTCTTTCTTTCTTTCTTTCTTTCTTTCTTTCTTTCTTTCTTTCTTTCTTTCTTTCTTTCTTTCTTTCTTTCTTTCTTTCTTTCTTTCTTTCTTTCTTTCTTTCTTTCTTTCTTTCTTTCTTTCTTTCTTTCCTTTTTTCTTTCTTTCTTTCTTTTCTTTCTTTCTTTCTTTCTTTCTTTCTTTCTTTCTTTCTTTCTTTCTTTCTTTCTTTCTTTCTTTCTTTCTTTCTTTCTTTCTTTCTTTTCTTTCTTTCTTTCTTTCTTTCTTTCTTTCTTTCTTTCTTTCTTTCTTTCTTTCTTTCTTTCTTTTTTTCTTTCTTTCTTTTTTTCACTTGAAATTGATTATCTATATCTGCAATATGTATATTTACATGCATAAGTTGCCATGGGAAAAATACAGGATCTAAGGATTGTTACTTTAACATGTATGTAGGTGTGTACCATAGGTTTTTCATGCATAAAACATAAGAACTAGGAAGCATGGATTGTTAACGATCATAGTCACCAATGCAACAGCTGGCAAGAGACTTGCTGAGTTAGCAGCTTTAAAGTACAGCACTTATCTTGGAATTAAATATAATATTTACAGCATATTTGACTCCAGTAATTCTACTTGTGTGGTCTATGGAAAGAGACTTGAGCACATATGTGCAAAAAATAACTCTCAAATAAAAAGCAAGCAGAACTTACTATCTCTGTGTCTTCATTTTCTGCCGTTATTTTTTCTTTATCTGCACCTTCATCTTCCCCATCCTTTAGTTTGTTTTCCTCATGCTCCTCTATAATTTCGACATTGACTGTAACTGGTTCTTAATGAGAGAATTTAAAAGCACAGCATTGCATACACAGTAAATAAAATTAATTTAATGACACTGTATATAATAATGTCACTTTCTACAATAATTTCTTTTAATAATATATTTCAAACAAAATATGGGATCTGTGGATTGATTCTTCTTTGTGAATCCCATCATGTAATTAGATCTTTAACCTTTATTTTCTGTGAGCAGAGAACACTCAAGAAATCTAGCCTCTGCAATGACTTTCTGTCTCTGTGCATGTAGCTTCTTTGTAAGTCACACATGTAACTTTTTTAAATATTGCTCAGTTTCCTGTTACAATCCTGCCAAAAAAATTGTGTGATATCAAAAAGAGACAAAGATTAATTTTAGATTCCATGCATGTAAAAACATTTTGATACTGAAAATTAAACAAAATTATCAATTTTAAAATATTTCATTGGCGCTTTCTTTCAAACCTTTTTTCTACTCTCAAAACCATGGCTTTGAAATGACAGCAACAGCAATATTGTCTTTCAAAGGGACAGTTATGTGAAGTTAGTTGCCTATCCTTTACAAGGGACAGTTATGTGAAGTTAGTTGCCTATCCTTTACAAGGGACAGTTATGTGAAGTTAGTTGCCTATCCTTTACAAGATGTTGCAAAACCCCAGCATTTATTTGGCCTTTGTGGTTTTTCTAGGCAAAGTTACATTCATTAGTTTGCCATTGCTTTCTGAACGGTCAACTCTCGATACTGATGTGAAAACCAACTCAAGACAGTCTGCAGCTGGGATTGAACCCGGCTCCTTGGCATTACGTAGGGCATTCACAGTGCCTAAGCCACAGACACTATACTAACAGTTATGTAGAATATGCATTAGGTTCACTGCAGGATCTTAACCATGTTTCCCTGGAAAAAATTAAAAAATTAAAAAAATTAGGTAACGAGCTGTGGTGAAGTGTCTAGGAGGTAAATGATGATGCTTCACCCAAGTCGACTATCAGACGACTCATAGGGTTCCCTACCGGAGAGTACCTATCACATCGTACAACTAACACTGATAACCATCAACAGCCAACCACATCAACAATACAGGAAGAAACATCTCTATAATCGTGCATCAGTCTATTTGTTGGGACGAAACACAGTATGACGATGAAGATTAATTGGTGATTACCGAACTACTGTCCGTCTAATACCCCCAGATACTCATTAGCATACTTCCAAGGCGGTGTCAACTCAAAGGGTACCACCTAGCCTCGACTTGACGTGCGTCCACAACATAAGACAACTTCGGCCGACGGGCCCACTCCTGGGGTCACCGGTAGCCTTTCATAAACACCACGGTTATGTGCCCACCTTTGGGTAACCTATAAATGGCCATAATAAAAAATACCTCGATTATGTGCCCACTCTCTGGGTTACCTATGACCGGCCATAACTTACTAGAGACGTTGCACACAGCGATATGCCTCCAGGAAAGACAATCGCGAGTCAGCCTCCAACATTATCACATGGAATATATCCTCGCAGTTGGATCATAAAGAGATGTTTTGGGTCCTTAACATCTTGTCTCCATTATCTACCTTCAACTGGAATATTTCGAATCATACACCAAATTCTAATGAATCATCCATCTCTCACCGGAATAAAATAAAACCCACACTTGCAAATAAAATCACACAAATCTATACACACGTGCACACTATCTCAATGACGGAGAGGCACTGATTGGACAGGTGCTAACTTTCAGCTCAGTGGCTAAATCCCTGAAGCAGCTGTCACTCGCCAAACCCGAGAAACACTAAGTTCTCAATTTAACCGTGTGGACCTTTTGCACTCGCCTCTGCCATCATCATCATCCTCATCAACTAGTGCCTTTACAACTGGCGTAAGTGATCATCACTCCTACCCCTGGTACAATTGAACAGCAAAGTGGGTTTGGCACACAACATGAGCCAAGTTATCCCTGTGTGGGTTCCCTGGCCCCATTGTGGGGAAAACAATAGTCCCACTGCATACCCAAAATTATGTACAGAAGTCGACTGATTAGGAGTGCATAGGTTTGAGAGATGAGGGACCAACAGTCTACATACACAGGAGTCAGATCTGTAAAATGGATGTGCACGCAACACTCAGGTTCTGGAACAAGACTAAAATCCAGAAGTAGATAAACACCCAGAGTTTTCTGCCGTTTTTAGCCGGTGAACAAGAAGAAGAAGCCCAGTTATAATGCCCGAGAAAAAATAACATAAACAGCAACAATTTTGTGCACAGCTCACTAATAAATTTGTTTTAAAATGTATTTATCAAAATGTAATAATTTTTTTTTCAAAATGGATAAAGATATATGAAAGGAGCAACAGGTAAACATGACCAGGATGCAGCATTATATGGAATTCATCTATCTCCCAGGGTCTAAAAGACACACATGCCATGACCTCTACCACTGAGGCATATGAGAAAATATGATGTCAACTTTCAAGCCATTTAGCTAACCCCCCCCCCCCCCCCCCCCCCCCCCCCCCCCCCACTGTTATTGTTAATTAATGTATTCATATGTTTACCTCCTAAGTTTTTGCACAGGCACAAACTCAGCCAACAGCATTAACTATGTGTTTCAAAAACAGGTCACTATAGACAAGTCAAAAAAGTGACATTTATGGGAAGCAGGACCCACCTGGTTGTGTCAGTTTTTCAGCTTCTCTTCGCAAAAAGATATAGTTACATTTTATAATTACATCATACTCCTTATATGATTATGAAGTTTTGTGGCCTAAATCTAAAATTTTTAACATATGTATGAATGTTACCTTCCTCCCTCTGCTTGACACGAGGAATGCCTGCTGTGCTTTTAGATGAGTAGTGGTCATACTTTGTGTATAAAACACGGACAGCACAGTCGCTCAGTGTTAACATTCTTGGGATCTCACATGTGAAATGAACTTCCGGAAACTCAATGGACTTTATTCTATAAAATAGTTTTTAAAATGGAGTTTTGGTCTTTATATATGTGTACTTTATTCTTCATTATTCCAGTTATATGTAAGTGCATATGTGTGCTTGTGTATGCGTTTGTATAATTTGTGAGTGCACATGTATATGCATGTAAGTAAAGAATCTGCTTCGCACCTTGAGGTATTTGGGATACACAGTGATAACACCATATTTTCATAGACTAGTTGGATGCATGTGTACACCGTTTCTCTCTCTCTCTCTCTCTCTATGTATATCTGTCTCTGTCTATCTCTCTCCACGCACACAGGCACACACAGCTCCTCTGTGTGTGCCTGTGAATCTCTATATGACTATATAAATGTGTGCCTGTAATCTATACGACAATGTGAATGTGTGCTAAACATATGATGAGTGTGTGTGTGTTTGTGTAAACATTTTATTACATGTACTTGGTGATAAAGAAGCACAAACCATCAAAAAAGTTTATTCTATCATTAAGACAGGACTTAAAAATATGTGTTATCTTCTAAAAAAAACTACCATTTTAGAATATCAGATAACACAGACTATTTGTTAACTTCTAGATAACTATCATCTCAGAACATCTAGAAACACAGAACATTTGCTAACCTTTATATAATACTATCTCAGAACATCAAGCACATAGAACATGTGTTAACTTCTAGATAACAACCATCTCAAATCATCAGGTTACATTCGTAGAAAAGGAGTGAACAGAGAGATAGTCATGAAGCCATTAATGATTAGTTCTGAGTAATTAATACAGGGAAACACTGAACTACAACCATAGATTAGAACACTGCTTCTGATACTGAAGGATGAAGGAATTGAGGGGAGTAGGTTTAGGCTGTGTTGAATGCCCAGACGCCATTAGCAGTAAGTTATAGTAGCATCAAATGCTCGGAAGTAAACACATGAATTAGACTCCAAACTTGACTGCAAATCACTGGGGAGTCTGACATGGAACAGATGCAAACAGACTGAATGCAATCTTATAGAGGGAGCTTCCCTTGAGGTACAGACAGGAGATGCATTATAATCTTTCTTTTAGCTGAAGTAAGACAATTTGATCAGAGAATATAAGAAGTTGAAAATGGCCAGGCTGACAGATAGCAAAGATGTTTGACATTGCTGATGCCTTGAGAAGAAAAGAGATAACTAGAAATGAAGTGCAGTCCAGGAGAGGAAGCCCAGAGACATGGACAGAGGACCAAGAGTGTATGGTGTGTTTAGCCGAAAGAACTACAGTCTGTCAGATATAACACATGTACTGTATAGCCGAAGAGTTTAATGAATTATAAAGCAAATTTCAGATTTGACAGCGGTAACTGAGATGTGATGAAAGCAACAACAAAACAGCATAAACTTCATTAGAAGTAACATCTTTGGATTTCATGTTAGAAGAGAGTTTATAAACATTCAATAACAGTCAATAGCCTGTACATGGGGTGAGGTATACAGCAGCTTATGTTAAAGCATTTCATCGTCATTGTTTAAATGAAATTAGTGTCATTCTTGGATCGACACCTGTGTTTTCATAATAAACAGTCTTAACAATTATATGACTTGTTGGATCTCTGGCCGTGATGTTATAACACAAGAGACTTACAAAGACTATCTTATCACCTTATCACCCATGTCCCTTGTGGCATGCTTGAAAGAACTTGTGCAGCATGAAAGATTGATAGTGCCACACATAATATTTGTTAACTTCTAGATAACTGTTAACTTCAGAACATAAAATTATACATAACATTTGTTAACTTCTAGATAACTGTTAATGCAATGGGGGATATTTTCACCCAGATTAGGATGGTTGGGGGGAAGGCCCAAAGCTGACCTAAAACACCGAGATAGTCCAGATACTCGGATTAAACGAGAATCTTGATTTAGGTGGGGACCGCTAGTTATCACGGGTACCACGAGAATTTGACCAAAGGTCACCACGTGAAAAGTAAAGGACCACCACATGTTGTCACGTGAAACGAACCCGTGGTATAAGTCAGACTTGACTCTGGTCAAGTTTAGTTTGTGTCGACCTGTTGGAGTGAGAGGACGTGCGACTGAAAGTGAGAATGTCAACGTAAGAGTGCTTGTGGAGAAAGGAGATCCTGACGACGAAGTGTGAAGCCAAGATCGACCATGCCAGTCTGTGTGATGGCCAGAACCTCAACGTGAATCCATGGGAGCTGACTTTGGTCAGTGAATGCAAGAAGAACCTGTTCGTCGAAGGCTGCGTGAATTTGTGTGCGAGAGCTGTCTGTGTATTAGGACTACGACTGGACATGGCTGTAAGTTATATCATGTCAATAAATCGATGCTCGTACGACTAACTTGGTGTCGGCTTGTACCAGTTGTGTAACGCAGAGTGTGTGAGAAGAACATTCACAATACACGCATGGACACTACCTAGACAACGAGAATATAAACACACCATTTGTTACAGTTAACTTCAGAACATAAAATTATACATAACATTTGTTAACTTCTAGATATTATTTTAAAATTTAACAAAAAATACAATACCTTGGATTCTTGACAATGTTGCCCCAAATACACAAAGCTATTTCATCATTTGTCACTGCATGCTGAAGATTTCCAGATTCACTGTTTGCAACAGGCGTATTATCACACAACAGTTGGAATGTGACCAGGGCCAACTTGATGCTTATCAGATTCTCAAGCTTTTCAATGGTCTATAAGGTAAACATGGTCACACTGAACATTAGGAATCTTTTTTCGTCTCCAAATAAAGTCAAGTCAGTGTGACATACCGAATCATTAGTTTATTACAAACTTTAATATACATGTGTATTACAGACAATCATCATTGTATTGGAAAAATAAAAGCATAAGGCATGGAACCAGAAATGAGAGACATAAGAGGCCAACCAGCATGAAGATGGGCACAGGATTTAACTGACACATCTGATAAGATATGCACAAGGTGGGAGAGCTAGCTAGGGACCAAGTTACAGGATGACATCAATGTTCTGCAAAGGACCTGCTTCATGATAATGGTGATTCATCATCATCAGGTGCCTTGCAGACTGGCATGGGTAATCATGCCTCTTCACAATCAGCGATCTCCTGTAGCATTTATCAGTTCATGTGCCGACACACCTCCATGCCATGCAACAAGACTGTCAATAATCTTCTCTCGTTGTTTTCCTCTATTCCTCCTTCCACAGATCTTTCCAGTGGTCACAACCTGTTTCATTTTCCCTCTACTCATAACATGGCCAAAAATGATGACTGTCTCCTTCTGATGTCTGTGATAAGATGTCTTCAGGCTTCCGTCTCTTTCAAAACCTCTTGGTTGCTCTTTTTGGCTGTCCAATGTATTTTAAGCATTCTTCTGTAAAATCACATCTCTGAGGCCTCAAGAAATTGTTTTGCATGACTACCGATTGTCCAGGACTCACAGCCATATGTTAAAACTGGATGTATGTAACAAGCAAGAATTATTTTTCTAACCTTCAATGACAAAGATATATTGCCCAAAATATTATTTTTTTTAATGAAATGCAGTTCTGGCCTGTCCTTTTCCATTCTTTATATTTGTGATACATTTTCCATCTGATGTTAACCATGTGCCTAGATACTTAAATTTCTGTACTTGTCCCAGAATAACACCACTGACTTTTATTACACATTTTGGAAAAATTCTTTTCTTTGACACTCTTATTACTTCTGTCTTCCCATTATTCAAACTGAGGCCCATTCTTCCACTTTCTACCACCACAATGTCTATCATTTCCTGTAGTTCTTTCTGACTTGTTGCTATCAAGACTGTGTCATCAGCATAACGTAAATTGTTTAAATTATCCCTACCAATGATGGTGATTACACTGTAATATTCATCATATCATCGACTGGATGTCTCTGAGATGAAGTGATCAATCCATTTGCCTCACTCTCTGAAGAGTTGTGGATTCATATCACAGACTTTCCTGTGTGGATTCTGGGGGCTCTATCGTGGAAAAGGGGGGGGGGGGGGGGGGGAGGGGGGAGTCTCACTAATAAGCATGTCATAAGAGGTGACAAATTACAGGTGTTTTTGTTGAGGTGCATCTGCCTAAGAGGCAAGGAACCAACAGTCAGCATACAAATAAGCTAGATCTGTAAAATTAATATCTGAAGGAGCATGTTAAACTCAAGTTCTAGAACAAGACCAAAGCGCATAAGTGGATGAACAGCCAGAAATGTTGGGGTGTGGCTAGCGTGCTCACCTGTTGGGGGTGTGGCTAGCATGCTCACCTGCTGGGGGTGTGGCTAGCGTGCTCACCTGTTGGGGGTGTGGCTAGCCTGCTCACCTGTTGGGGGTGAGGCTAGCCTGCTCACCTGTTGGGGGTGTGGCTAGCCTGCTCACCTGTTGGGGGTGTGGCTAGCGTGCTCACCTGTTGGGGTGTGGCTAGCATGCTCACCTGTTGGGGGTGTGGCTAGCATGCTCACCTGCTGGGGGTGTGGCTAGCCTGCTCACCTGTTGGGGGTGTGGCTAGCCTGCTCACCTGTTGGGGGTGTGGCTAGCGTGCTCACCTGTTGGGGGTGTGGCTAGCATGCTCACCTGTTGGGGTGTGGCTAGCATGCTCACCTGTTGGGGGTGTAGCTAGCCTGATCACCTGTTGGGGGTGTAGCTAGCCTGCTCACCTGCTGGGGTGTGGCTAGCCTGCTCACCTGTTGGGGTTTCTGCTAGCATGCTCACCTGCTGGGGTGTGGCTAGCCTGCTCACCTGTTGGGGGTGTGGCTAGCATGCTCACCTGTTGGGGGTGTGGCTAGCATGCTCACCTGTTGGGGGTGTGGCTAGCCTGCTCACCTGTTGGGGGTGAGGCTAGCATGCTCACCTGTTGGGGGTATGGCTAGCCTGCTCACCTGCTAGGGTTATGGCTAGCATGCTCACCTGTTGGGGGTGTGGCTAGCCTGCTCACCTGCTGGGGTGTGGCTAGCCTGCTCACCTGTTGGGGTGTGGCAAGCCTGCTCACCTGTTGGGGGTGTGGCTAGCATGCTCACATGTTGGGGATGTGGCTAGCATGCTCACCTGTTGGGGGTGTGGCTAGCCTGCTCACCTGTTGGGGGTGTGGCTAGCCTGCTCACCTGTTGGGGGTGTGGCTAGCGTGCTCACCTGTTGGGGTGTGGCTAGCATGCTCACCTGTTGGGGGTGTGGCTAGCATGCTCACCTGCTGGGGGTGTGGCTAGCCTGCTCACCTGTTGGGGGTGTGGCTAGCCTGCTCACCTGTTGGGGGTGTGGCTAGCGTGCTCACCTGTTGGGGGTGTGGCTAGCATGCTCACCTGTTGGGGTGTAGCTAGCATGCTCACCTGTTGGGGGTGTAGCTAGCCTGATCACCTGTTGGGGGTGTAGCTAGCCTGCTCACCTGCTGGGGTGTGGCTAGCCTGCTCACCTGTTGGGGGTGTGGCTAGCATGCTCACCTGTTGGGGTGTGGCTAGCATGCTCACCTGTTGGGGGTGTGGCTAGCCTGCTCACCTGTTGGGGGTGAGGCTAGCATGCTCACCTGTTGGGGGTATGGCTAGCCTGCTCACCTGCTAGGGTTATGGCTAGCATGCTCACCTGTTGGGGGTGTGGCTAGCCTGCTCACCTGCTGGGGTGTGGCTAGCCTGCTCACCTGTTGGGGTGTGGCAAGCCTGCTCACCTGTTGGGGGTGTGGCTAGCATGCTCACATGTTGGGGATGTGGCTAGCATGCTCACCTGTTGGGGGTGTGGCTAGCCTGCTCACCTGTTGGGGGTGTGGCTAGCCTGCTCACCTGTTGGGGGTGTGGCTAGCCTGCTCACCTGTTGGGGGTGTGGCTAGCATGCTCACCTGTTGGGGGGTATGGCTAGAATGCTCACCTGTTAGGGGTTTGGCTAGCATGCTCACCTGTTGGGCTGGTGTTAATATCAACACACAATGGTCTGCTGCCAACTTACCTGCAGCTGAATTGAACCAGGTATTTCAGAATCACAAACCGAATTTGTAACCCCTACCTTGCAACAACAACAACAAAACACTTATTGAATAGACAGACAGACCGATTGGCAGATAGACAGATATACAGACAAATATATTAATAGAAGACTAGGCAAAAAGATGGCTAGAAAAACCCATCTTATATGTGTGTGTGCATGGGTGCTCAAATGCATGTGCACATGCGTGTGCATATGTGCATGTGTGTAGATGATAGTAACACAGACATAATAAATTATTTAAAAAACAATCATTGATGAAAGAAAAAGAGAAACTGCATTACCCACATTATGAAGGTTGGGGGGTAGGCCCAAGAAAAACCCAAAACACCGAGATATTCCAGATACTCGGATTAAACGAGGGTTTTGAGATAGGTGATGACCACGAGTTATCACGTGTAACACGATGAGGTGACCAAAGGTCGCCACGTGGAACTAAAGGACCACCACGTGTTGCCACATGAAACTAACCTGTGGTAAAAGCTCAGACTTGATTCTGATCAAGTTAGTTTGTGTCGACTTGTTGGAGAGAAAGGATGGGAGACTGAGCGTATGAATGTCAACGTGAGATTGCTGTGGTGAAAGGAGAATCAGACGACGTGTAAAGTCAAGATCAGCCAGGCCAGTCTGTGGAATGTTCCGAAGATCAACGAGATGCATCAGGGAAGACTCTGGTTAGTGAATGCGTGAGGAACCTGCTTGCTGAAGGCTGCGTGAAGTGGTGTGTGACAGCTGTTATTAGGACAACGACTGGATTCAGATGTAAGTTGTAACATGCCAATAAACTGATGTTTCGTACGGCTAAGTCGGTGTCGGCTTGTACCAGTTATGTTAACGTAGAGTGTGTGTTAAGAACATTCATGACACACACATAAACACCCACTAGACAACGAGTGAGATCATTGCAACACCTGAAGTAATATGTTCAATATATACAGATCAACTTTACTTATCTAAACCTAAGTTCACATTCTATGGCCACAGATAACAAAACTATACAAAATAAATAACATAAAAATAATTAAACTTTTGCAGACTGATATTATATTACTGACCTCCTTACACAGCATTCTTTCTTTCTCTGGAAGCTCATCTAAAGGTGTGTCCATCAAAATAAATTGTAGCTCTTCTATCAGCTTTGCCAAAAAAAGAAGCATAATAAAATTATGTAAGTAATCACTGAATAAATTGTAGCCAGATTAAAGAATTAAACGTGTGACATTTGACAACTTGGGTAAATATTGTTAAAGCATATTTCTTTGCTTTTACTTAGCCTTTTTTATAACAGTGGCATTACCTCAACACAGCGCCCTCCCCCCCCCCCCCCCCCCCCCCCCCCCTTTCCCCCCTCTTCTCCATAATACTGAACTTTCCAGGTAATTCCCTAGGACATCTTAGAGTCCCCGAGATAGGGTGAAATAAAAGAAAAGAGCTGACAAGTGTACAGCCACTGAGCTAGTGCTGCTCCATAAAGCATATTTACATTCCATATTGTATATTAGTATAAATAGTTCAGCCCAAATCTTCAATGTCTGGATACCACACCTGAAGTAATATGGCCAGTATACACACAGATCACCTTTACTTATCTAAACCTTTGTACAAATTTGATGAAGTTGAGACAAATTCAAAGAATGGAATTTGAATTTCAGTGCTGCAGAAAAATTCAGAGGACATGCTGATGTTAATTGTCAACCGTGGAGCTATGGTGGAAATGATAGCATAAACCCTACCCTGAGTGGACAGGGAGCTTTAATGATATCCACCAAATGGGTGGTTCCATCTTCTTATACTCCCATGACTACCTGAAAATTAAACTGGGTCTTATATTACTATGGGAGTCGCCATTGCAGAGCGGCTAGACGCGCACCGCGGATCGGAAGGTTGTGGGTTCGCTCCCTGGCGGAGCTGGACTTTTCTTCAAAAATGACCTTGGCTGCCAGGTCGAACCAGCCTTGAGTGGGTACCGGGTGCAATCCCGGGAAGTAAAGGCAGCCGGCGTGATGCTGACCACATCACCCATCTTGTGCAGTTGGTCTATAAAAATATAGGTCTAGCCCTATATGCCCTATACGCCTAAAGGCGTGGAAAAGGGTCCTTTACTTTTTACTTACTTATATTACTATTCTTCCAAAAAATGCCTTATCACTCATTTTCATGGATTGGCTTATTTCTAACTTATAAATGCTTCATTTTATCAATACTTAATTATAATTTGTATTATGATCTATTTAAATCATTAGTGTCAATATTATTATTTATTTTTATTTATTTATACTCCCCATGTGGATTCCGGGGCCCCATTATGGGGGCAAAAAAGTAACAGACCCTCTGCCCCTTGAAAAGCATTTTGCAAAAGTCAACTAATTAGGAGTGCTTCCTTTAAAGTCAGAGTGTATCTGCATGAGAGGCAAGAAACCAAAAGTCTGTATAGAAATAAGCCAGATTTGTAAATCATATGTACAAAAACTAAAGTTCTTGAACAACACCAAAGTCCAGAAGTAGACGAACACTAGGACTTTCTGCTGAAGTTTAGAGCCTGTAAAAACAAAGCAGAAGAAGATTTATTTAAGCATTCATTTTATATTCAGTAAATCTGTCAGGTGTTTCAATGGACAAATAAAATTCATTTATTGTGCTGTCAATATAACTAGGGCTTATATTACAAGCATCATGAGAAATCAGGCTAGAGCTTATTAGGTAAGGTTTTATCTTTCGGGAACACTGTACTATCTGCATAACCTGTTGCTCGTGTCAAGGATCAGTGCTACGGTTAGTGCTCTCTAGAGTTGGCTTTCAAAATGACCAGTTTTGATCAGGTAAAGCTCCCGGTGTGGTTTCTTTGACCTCATTTTAGACAGGGATAAACGAAAAGACCTACTGCTCCTAAACAAGCATACTATCAAAGGGGACTGAATAATTGTTAGCTGAAAAGAGATGAGCGAGGCTAAAATGCATAGATATGATGAATATTGTAACCTAGTTGTAAAGTACGATGTGTCGACAGCCCTTCTAAGAGCAAATGCAAAAGTAGAAGATACAATTTTCTTTTCCTTTTTTTTTTAATTATTATTTTTTCAAATTTGTCCCTTCAAGATTTTTATTTTTTAGGATTAACACTTCTAGAAGGAAAATCAAACACCTACAAATCCTGGAAATCCCATACAACCGTATGGAACAGTTACATTGGGGCACCACAAAATGGTTAGGAAGTAACCTATAGGCCAGCTTGGGTGTGCATTATTGTGCATCAAAATTACCATAAACACAATTCTGGCCCCAGCAGGGATGAGTTGTTATGAATCCCCAGTTAGCATACATTTTTTAATCCTGATTCTTGATTTTCCGTCCCTTGAAATTTGCATTAATGATGTTTTACTATAGTTATGCAATATCAATACTGAACTTTATTGGTTGACAACAGATTAAATGGTTTGGAAAGGTAACAAGATTGACAAAAGACAAGGCACCACAGAAGCAATGTTATATAGATACGGTGGTGACATAATCAGAGGTCGACCACGCAGAAAATGGACCACAAAAATATCGGAGACACTCAAAAATTACTATACACAAAGTGAATAGAAGGGCCTGTTCCAGAGATCTCTTACTGCCTTGATGCTGTGAGGTCTCCTGGTGGTAGAAAAAAAAAGAAGATGCATAACTAGTTGCTATGAGAACTCACCATTAAATCCAAATGACTGTCCTTAAGAACATTCTCGGCATCATTGTGGCTGTCGTCTTCAAGCCGTAGGTTGATGTATGTGTTTATTTCCCTTTGGTTAATTGGGTCAGGGGATCCATCACACCTCATGTATCTTGCCCACTGAAATCCCAAATTACACTATATCAAAATTCAATAAAACTATACTGAATGAAACAAACACCTTAATTCTTTTGTGTTAAGTGGCTTTGTCTCATAATATACAGAATAAAGAGACAGTACTCCAAATTCTCTATCTTGCTTTATGGTGTGTGCTTATGCATGCACAAGTGCACTTGCGTGTGCTTACACATGTGTGTGCGTACTTAAGCATGTAACAGTGTGTGTTTGCTTACTTAAATAAGTGTGCATGTGTGTATGCATACATCATAAGGTTTGTGTACGAATGTGCCCATAATAATGTGCACTCAATGGGTGATTTAATCATTTCACATATTTTTTTTTAAACTATAAAAGATTCTTTTAATGTCATAAGCACAATGGACTATGATGCTAGATTCATATTTTTATAGACCAATCAGCACTTGGTGGGTGATGTGGTCAATATCATGCAAGCCACCTTTACCTCCCTGGACATTACCTGTATCTCATTTGGGCTTGGTCAACCTGGAGCCAAGGTCAATTTTGAAAAAAATGCACCTCAATGCTGATTTGAATCCAGGACCCTCTAACTAGCAGGTGATTGCCTAGCCTCTACGCCACCACAGCTTCCAGAATTTTGCACCTAATGTCTTTAACTTCCAAATAATTTCCTGATATCCATTTTAGGCTGAGGCGACTTGAGAGCCAATACCAATTTACTAAATTCACTTCTTTGGAAAATTGGACACATGGCCATAAGGACAGCAGATAAAGCTGCAATAAATCAGGACTATTCAACTTTTCACTTCTTTGGAAAATTTGACACACGGCCATAAGGACAGCAGACAAAGCTGCATTAAGCCAGGGCTTTTCAACTTGGTGGCCCACAGGCCAAATCTGGCCAGCAGATGCCTAGCAAGTGGCCAATAGATCATTACCAGTCATCCTGTAATAAAGAGACGATCCCCATTTTCAGCATTTTGGCACCTGAGTAAATGTAACTGAACAGCCCCGCTATATATGCGGTGCTGCAGAGGTCCACCCATTCATAGTAAAGTAAACGACACTCTTCATGCTTTAGGCACATGGTGCTTCCTAAATGTCTAATTTTATAGGTCAATTCGGAAATCAATGGGTGATGCGGTCAATATTTTGCTGTCACCTTTACTTTCCTGGACATTTCCTGGTACATATTTTAAGCTGGTTTAAACTGGCAGACAAGGTGAATTTTTTAGGAAAGAATTCACCTCAATGCAAATTTTATCCTCAGACCATCCGTGAGATCTAGCCACAAAACTGCAAAACATTCCCAACAATCAGTAGTAAATCATTATTTTATATGAAATCAGATAGAGTGCTTAGAATTATTTTTATAGAACAGGAAAAGATCCAGAAAATGCTTGTTTAGTCACTGATGTCTTTTTAATAAGAGAAAAATACCTGATGAAACAAACAAATCAGTACAAAGTAACCCATGATAAGAAATAATTAATAGTTTACACATACCATGCAGTCCTATTACCTCTCTAGCAATGAAGTATAGAAATGTATTAGTGCATACATTTCAGTTACATAATTCATCAAAATGCCATTTAAAACAAAAATATTGATGACTATATTATTGCATTTTAGTACATTTACCTTCGCTTGAAGTCTTCGAGACTGATTCAAAGCTTTAAGCATGTTTCTGTTTCTTTCCAATATCTCACCTAATTCTGCCATTTCAACTTTTCGTATTTTTTTTTTCTCCTAAAAAAATAAAACTAAAACTAAAAGACATTTATAGTTAGGTAATGAATTATGGTACAATGTTCACAGAGAAATTTTTTGAGCTCAAGATTATATAGTTATATTTACCGCATTTCCTCAAGTATAAAACAAACTTATTTTCCCAAAATATAGGTTAAGAAATAGTGTGCATCTTTAACTTCTTTCTTCTTTGGCTTTAAGCTCCTGTGAAAAGTCCTAGTTGTTTGTTGTCCATTTGGACTTTGGATTTGTGCCAGGGCCTGAGTTTTGTGTGTACATCCGTTTTACTGGGTTATCTGTGTTGTTCCTTGCTGCTCAGGCAAACACACTTTGAAAGAATTCACTAGTTAGTTGACTACTCCGACATGCTTGTTGAGGGGAGGGGGGGGGGGGTATTGGGGGGGGGGGTGGCAGTAGGTCTATTCTTAATTTTCCACAATTGGGCCCTGGAACTCACATGGGAAACATATTATACAACAGTAGTAATCATAGTATTGTTTCCAAACGTCTGGTCCCAATATCAAGGTGTGTCTTATACATGGAGAAATACAATATATTCAGATACCCTGCAAACAGCATGGACATCTAGATAATCTGTAAACAGCATGAACTTCTAGATACCCTGCAAACAGCATGAACATTTAGATACACTGTAAACAGCATGGACATCTACTGTAAACAGCATTGACATCTACTGTAAACAGCATGGGCATTTAGACACACTACAAACAGCCCTCCTGGGGTAGGACAAGCACAGAAATTTAAGTATCTAGGTACATCGATAACATCTGACTGAGGATGTATTACAAAGATGAAGGACAGAATAGGATAGGCCAAAACTGCATTTTTTATATGAAGATAATTTTATGCAATAAATTTATGCCATCGGAGGTTAGGACAAAAGTTCTTGCATACTACAAAGAGCCACTTTTAATACATGGATGCGAATCCTGGACAATTAATAAACAAGCCAAACAATTTCGTGAAGCCTCAGGGATATGGTTTCATAGGAGAGTCCTTAGAATTCCTTGGACAGCTAAAATAAGGAACCCATATATTTTGAAAGAGGCGAGGGTTCAATGGCAACTTATTACATTCATCAGAAAGAAACAGAGATCATTTTTTGGTCATGTTATGAGAAGAGGGAAATTGGAACATGTGACCACGGGAAAGATCTGTGGAAAGGAAGACAGAGGAAGACAGCATGAGAAGATTCTTGACAGCCTTTTGTCATGGCACAGAGGGGTTTCAACACATGAATTGATACACATTGCTTGGGGATCGGGGATTTGGGAGAGGCATGATCGTCCACGGCAGTAGGCAAGGCACTTAATGATGATGATGATGATAAACAGCGCTGACAATAAAACATTTTGCAAGAGACAGACCTGTAAATAGTGAATAAGCAGAATAGTAAAGGGGAAGAAATAACACACTGTGCACAGATCACACAGGAGCTATGTAAAAAAAAAAAAAACTACCAACATGCTCTTGAAAACCATAACTGTAGCAGTAGAAATAGGGTCAAAAATAAAGAATATACAACTGACTACTGGGTGTTTAAAATATAGAGCATTATCTTATTTGCAGCAGATATTTTAATAACACATGGCTCATCTCTCTTCACACAAACACTGGTTGCAGTTGAGAATAATGCAGAAAGCACAGACTTCATGTCTCCAGCAACAATCCCCTGAGATTTCATAAACACCTGCCCTCATGAACTAAACAAAAGAGTCTGGGCCTACAACCTTCGGAGCATGGGGGAAATGGCTTAACCACTTTGCCAGAATTATCATCATCATGTGTCCTACTGTTAAGCATAGGTGGTCATGTTTCCTCATCTTACACGATTGCTAGAAATGTGAATTAGGTCAGTGTTCTTGTCTCACCTCATCAGTTTGTCCAAGCCATCCAGGAATTTATCTTCCCTTCTGAAGCACTCTTATAAAAAGAAACAGAGTTTTTAAAAGAAATACAGTTAATTTTTCCAACAGAGATCAGTGTTATTTAATGCTGATGCTTTGAAATTAGAAAAGGCTGCCGGAAAGGTTGAGAACTTGGTGTTCTCAAGCAGTTCGTGGCGACAGCACCAGCCAAGCGGCCCTTAACTCTCAGGCTCAAAGACCCCCTTGGTAAATACAGGTAGCATTGGCATTTTTTTTTTCACAGTTGTGTAAGCAGATTTGCTTTCTGTGTTTGGGTTGCTAACATTATAGTACAACTGAGTCTCAGTCAGAAGGTTTTGTCTAGATATTCTAAGCAGAAATAATCGACAAAGGAAATCTGCTATGAAATATTACTCAAAGTAATAAGAGAGACAAATGAAATTTACTTTAATATCTTGTCAAAGTAATAAGAATGATAAATGAAGTTCACTCTTGGGGGGAAAACACCTTTTAAAACTACATTTTTGTGTGACAACAAATCCAAGTTGGTTGAAGTCTTGTGTTCCTTTAGTTATTTTATTTTGTAGTCCTCTTTTCTGCTGTTTTTAATCTCCTTGTAATTGTTTTTGTCTTCTGCGACAGAAACACTGGCTGTCATTCTGTGCTTAATTTTAACTCTTTCAGTCCCAGGGGGTTTAGCCTCAGAGGCCAAAGGAGAAGTCAAGAGAGATGTAAAATTGGTACATCTTGTGTTTACTGGGCTTCTAGGTAGGAGCCTATGAATGCATGATATGCTCACTGAGAGTGAAAGAGTTAAAACACACATTAATCTGTACATAAAAAAAATCACCTTTGACATCATTTTCAACCTTTTCTTCTATTTATCATTGTCTCTGCTCCAGACTTCATTAACACTTACTTATACTGTAAGACTGAAATACATTTATACCTTTGTTTCTTACTTTGACAGTAAATTTACAAGAAACTCATGAACTTTTCCTTTAATTATGAGTTATATTGCGTCACCTCATTTTCCTGTTTTGCCCTGATGATTCTTTCTTCTGCTTCCCGTATCTTCTGCAGCTTGGCATCTGCACTGGCCTGTATTTTAGCTTGTTCTGGAGAGAGAGAAAAACATGCCAGAATTAGTTGTGCATGCATCATGTAGCATAGAAAAAATAGAGCAGGTTATTTGTTACTTTTTTCTGAAAATTACTTGTTTCTAAACTGTATTTTTTTTATTTGTTTCATAAGCATTTGAAAATTATTAGAATACAAATGCTACACATGTTAGAATACTAATCCCATGCCTCTATAACCTGTTTCTCACTTAGCCCCTATATTTCTGTATTTTTCTTAATATGAATTTTCAGGAATATATGTATTTTTTAAAGCATAAGAGACTCTCTCTTCCTCTTTCTCTCCCTCTATCTCTGTCTCTATCTCTCTTTCTGTCTCTCTCTTTCTCTCTCTGCCCCTCTTCCCTGATATAAACTCAAACTCAGTGCGTGAATATTAATACTTAAGTGTGTGTCTGTGTCTCAATCTGGATGGCAGACCAACAAGGCACATCCTATATACCCTGTTCAACCTCCAAAGAAGTTATAATTAAGGCTCTTTTTTTGGGACTTCAACAGCTTCAGCAGAAATTGGATACATTCAACTTTAAATAAATGAACAAAAACTTTAACGACATAAAATGAAATGGAACCTTTAAAAACCTGAACAATTTATTACCACAGATATAAATTAGATGCCTCCACAAGCACTGCACACAAGAAGTCCTGCATCATCTCTGTCATTGAAACAATAAGCTACTGAATGTCACTCACTTGTATTTAATGATTTTAACCAGATAAGATTTTAAACAGATAACATTTTAACCCATAACATTTTAAACAGATAAGATTATAGGAAACTACAAGAATACTTGGTTATGCAGATGACATTGATATCATTGGAGAGAATGAACTAGAAATGGTAAAAATGGTAAAAACACTGACTCTCTTACAAGAAGCAGCTCTCAAAATGGGACTAGTTCAAGACAAGACAGAATACACGTTAATAACAAGACAGGGAAAGGATATAAACTCCAGCCACATACAGGTCGATAAAATAAAAATCAAACGAATGGAAACACATAAGTACTTGGGTGCAAACTTCAAATGTTCCAACATGCTGAGAGAAGAAATACAATCTAGAAAACAATTTTGATATAAAGTATAGTATGCACTTCAACATTTGCTAAAGTCAAAATCTCTATCTCGCAACATCAAGATCAAAAGATATATATAAAACATTGATAAGACTAGTATATGGCTCTGAAACTTAGAGCACAACTTAAAGAGATGAAGCCTTATTAAAAATTTCGAAATAGAGTCTTACGACAAATCTTTGGACCCATCAAAGATTCAAACAGCAGGAATGGAAAGTGAGAAGCAACAACAAAATTCATAATCTGTTGAAAATCCCTACTGAACACTGGCATCATAAAGGCTAATAGACTGAAATGGTTAGGGCATACTGAGAGAATGTCAGATGACAGGGAGGTTAAAAACTGTATACACAAGAAAGCTGAATTGTTGTAGGCCATGAGGCAGAATAAGAAGAAGATAGAGAGATAATTTCCAGACAGGCCTACAAACACTTGGTGTTACCAACTGGAAAGAGAAGGCCAACTAGAGAGATGGGTGGAGGTGAGTGATATCTGCAGCAATGAACCCCAAGGGCATGGAATGCTAAGAAAAGATTATTTTAACTCATTAAGAACATACAGATTTTAATACGTTGTATGCTGTTTAAATGTCTGTATACCGTTAACATTAAGAGTCAACTATTTCCAAGTAATGTATTTGCTAAATAAAGGTTATCATCCTAAAAGGAAGATTAAAAATTATAACCAAAGAAACCAAAAATTAGTTGTTCACTTTTTTTTTAATTTTTTAAAGTTTTTTAACACAGAGAGCTTACCAAGGTAATACAGTTTTTTTTTTTTAAAAGTTGGTTTATATCCTTTACAGGACATTGCAAACGCAAACCAATCCCAGTATTTGCTGGTTGTTTGTGGATTTACTATGCATTTTACATTCAGTAGTTTGCCATTGCCTTCTGAATGCTCAGCTCTCCATACCACTATTGAAATCTACCCTAGTGGCCTGCTGCTATATCACCTACTGGTGGAAACGAACTGAGTATTTTGGAGTTATAAATTATATTTGTTCTATTGCCTTGAGTGCTGGAGGTCCCAGGTTCAGGCCCTGGTAAAGGCTTAGATTTTTTCATGTGGACTTCTAGTCATTTCCCCTGGTCTCTAAGTAAGATCGAACGCCCGTGTGTATTTTGCGCACATAAAAAATCCCTTGGCAATTAAAAATCAAAAAGAGTTGCCTAACAGCGCTGCCCAGGCAAAATTTGAAGTTTAAAATCTATCCAAAGTAGTTCAGGATCCTCGCCAGTGCTCTAGAGTTTGTGCACTGAGCTGAGATTCTTTGGACTCAGGCTTGAGTTAGAAGTAGAAGGGAGCACTGATGGGTTACTACCCTTGTGCCATGATGTTAATACATTGTTCAAACCATCGACTTCTTCTATAATCACCCAGCGCCCCTGAACACTGCACAGCCGTAAAAAGAACCAATGCCATTGACTAGGCTTGTAAGAGACTGGCCAATGCAGCAATACTGGTTTAGTGGCTCTCTCGTGGGATGAGTAACAGATGGAGATGCTGGAGAAGGTACATTATGGGAACAGATGCTGACAATACAATATACTTATGACTAACTTTCCTCAGTGAATTTACATTTACTAATAAAATTCACATAATACAAAGCATCCAGGTTTTTACAGATCAGTAATAGATATGACTTAGCATAAACCATAATACTGAATACAAAGAAAGAAAGCTATTCTATTTCCAAGATATGACTAAAATGATTATGAATTTGTACTGTTTACCTTCTTCTAGGGCTCTTTTTTCTTGCTCTTCTTTCTTCTTGCGGTCTTTAACCACCTTAGACTTCTTTTTCTTTTTACCCTATATAAAACAATTACACATAACGCTAAAAATTTCATTTTGCAGTTTAGCAAAAGCAATCAAGATAGAAACTCTTCACATCTGAGAAATAAGAAATAGTTCAAAGTAATAAACAATTCAGAATAACTGCAATTTATAATTCCAGCAAAATTATGTATTATAACTATGTTTGAAAAATGTATTTTTATATTTACAACTGTTAATACATTCATGGCTAGTACATCAGACTAATGCAAAATTTTAAACAGATAATGAAGTATTTAGCAAAATTATCATACATAAATTTAACTACTAGTTTCAAAAAAGTTAAGGCATTTACTTTTCAGATATCAACTGTATTGTATTTAAAATACATCTTTTATTACAAACAACTTCCAGTCAATATGGTCGATATGAAGCTTTACTTTTCTAGTAGTGACAAATTTTTGGCTTTTGAGAATTAGCTAGCTGTAACATTTTCCTCCATGTGTAGACTGAAAGGATATAATTCCATTACCTAGCTACTGAGTTTAGTGCATGGCATGACACTGTGAGCTGCTAATTATTTTGAATACTTTTCCACCTGTGCTCAATGTGGTTTGTGTTGTACACTGCAGATTCAGACAATGGTGTGTTACCTGTTGCCAAAGAACTCTTGGTAATGTCTTATGCAATTAACTGTGTGAGCAACTACTGATTTGAAAAAAGACAGAAGTGATACTTTTTTCTTGACTAATATAAAAGAAAATAACTGGCCATATCACCTCGTTATTTTATGACTTAGTGTTTTTGAGGGAACAATCCACCGTGAAATTATGCTGAATGCTGCTTCCATCAATGATGAACTGTGTTTATAGTGTCAGCTGTTTGTGTTTGTACTTCTGATGGCTGACTTTTGCATTCAATTTGTGTGTTTGCTATTTGATTTGCTTTTACTGCAGTCTATATTAATTTCTTTTCACAAGAGACAGGGAACAGTGATGGACATTCTTTGTGGTTTTCATTAGCACAGGAATGGAGCAACAATCGGGTGGGTGACCCTTTTGCTATGAAGCTGAACTATGATTATCTAATTATACATACAAGAAAGTAATTTAAAACTGAGCAAAGAAACATGAAAATTATTGTACCATGAAATTATAAAATTTGTAAAAGGTGTATTCATTAATTTTTTTCTAGAGTACACATACTACTTAACATAAAAGTGAAAAAAAATACAACAAGGAATGCAGCAAATAATGCAGTAAGAAATGTAAGATATTGCAAAATATAACAGATACATGAAAAAACCCTCCTATTTGGTGTTCTATATGCTTTCATCAGTGTGTGGCAAACACCAAATACGTGTCTAAACTGTTAATGACACACTTACTGCACACCTCAGGCAACTAAAACAGGGTCTCCTTGACTTATGACCCAGTTCCATTCCGATGAATAGTTCATAAATTGAACTTATATTTCTCAACACTATTTACATTCAAACAGGTTGTAAAAAAAGTCTGCCATACATGAAAGGGTCAAACATATTCTGATCCAGCTGCACTTTATTCATCAGTTCCGGGAAAATTTTGACCAATGTAGATATCTTTCTTTGTTTACTTTTTTTTTTTTAATCGTTAGTGCAGATAAACATAAGTCGCATAGGTTGTAATTTGAAAATAAGGTATAATGAGAAAATGAGCAGTAATTTCAAGGCAGAAAGTGCCCTCACATACACTAGGTCATAAAATAATGAGGTGATATGACCATTTATTTTCTTTCATTTACAATTCTGGAAATTGCTCCCCATTTTGTAAGGCCAGGTTAACTTAAAAGCTTGTAATAGTCAAGAAAAAGGTATCCTACTTCTTTCTTCTTTTTCTTTTGTCAACATCTGCTTTGTGATGCTAGGCATCACAGTTGAACAAATGACAGATATTAGAAAAGCCAGGAAGCACTCAGTTCCTTGATATTCTGTGATGCTGCGAGGTCTTAAACTGACTCCTTCAATTAATATTCTTTTAGGTCTCCCGATGCCTCTTGATGTGAGACCACTCCTACTATTCATGAGAACCCTGAGTTGGCAGTAAGCACTCTAACGATGGTGTTATCATGGCTTCTTTTCCCCTTAATAACGTTTTCAGTACTAAACAAAACATGTGGGACTGGATTTCTTCTTATTCTCCATGTTCACTGGTGGTAAACTCCAACAGAAAGTCCTGGTTGTTTATCCAATTTTGGACTTTGGTCTTGTTACAGAATATGAGTTTGCTGTACACATCCATTTTACGAATCTGGCTTATCTGTACGCAAAATGTTGGTTGCAGACCTCTCAGACACATGTACTCTGACTTTTAAAGAAACACCACTAATTAGTTGACTGTTATGACATGCTTGTGTGTGGGGGGAGGGAGGGGGTGGGTGTTTTTTTCTCTCCCCACAGTGAGGTCCCAGAACCCACACTGGGATCTTGTAAAACTAATATATACTCAGGTGGCCAAGAGGTCAGAAATTCTGCTATGCACAATAAGGGACACAAGTTCAATCTTCAATTAAGCTTGCTGTATTTACATTCTAGCCTGTACAAAATTTAGCAACTGATTGAGTAAAAAGCTTTTTTTTTCTGATTTTTAAAACATCAAAAACTTTAGAACTAAAACTGTACTGCAGCTGTTCTAAACTCATTTCCAACCCAATTTACTATTAAAAGTAACTCTTTCAAACAACTTTGTTAAAATTTACAGTTTAATTTTTTTTCCCCCAATAAATGCATAAGTATTGATCTGTTCATTTCATTCTCAACTAGTCTGACATTATCATTCTTGGCAGATTATTTTTAATTAGACTGGATTATTTGTAAGCAGCTCAAAATAATGACTTCTCTTATCACAATATCCAAATATCTAAAATCAAATTATCAGCAAAACAATGATAAGTAAACCAAGCAATGAAGCTGCAGGAAATATTTTTGTGTGAGAACAAACAACCATTAAACAAGTATTGTAAAAGAGGTTACATATACCCATACATTTATATATAATGCAGAATACGGGAAGGGGGGGGGATGTATATGATGATGTTACATATGCTGATACATTCATGTATATATATTACAAGGTGGGGAAATGTTAAGGTATATGGGGCATATCACACATATTGATCATCATCACCACCATGTTGTGCACTTTGTTTGCCACATAAGGCTCGTAGTCTTCCATTCTGTTGTATCCTCTGTAGTCCTCTTGATATAATAGACTGAATCCAGTCCAGGGCATTTGGTCTCTCTCAGCAATGTTTGTCTTAGGGTTTCTTTAGGATGTCTTCCTTTTATTCCCATTTCAGTGCCTGTGTGCTGATTCTATGTCTGTTCCTCTTTACGACGTGCCCAATATATTGCCATCTTTTTGGTTTTATAATTGATACAAGGAGTTGTCCAGACATTTCTCTTATCTCTTCCCTTTTTACATTTAAATTTTTTTTTTTTTAAATGCCTCCCATTTAAAAATGTTTTGAGACATTCAGACAAAATCACAAAGTGGTATTGAAAGAAAAAGCTCGTATGACAAGTTTTTTCAGTTCTCAGTTTTCAAAGACTCAGATGGCTAGGACATAAGTGGAGGATGGAAGATAGCTGAGTCCCAAAGAAAACATTTTTATGGTGAGTTACAGATGGGCAGAAGATGCTGAGGTCGGCCTTCTATAATACAAAGAAGTGAGCAGATGGGGCATAAATAATAAGGCATTAAAGGCAGATTTTTGGGAACAGGAGGCCATGGACCATGTTGCATGGACAGAGCAAAAAAGGAAGGGAACATGGATATAGGAGAAAATTATTGCAGATAGATTAAGAGTCGCAAATCTGCGAAAAAGCACATAAAATACAGGCTATGCATCACTGGTCCTGAAATCTCATCTTCTGATTGTGGAAGACTACTCTTAACTCTAGCAAGTCACACTCGCCAGATAGAAATGCACCAGCAACCATAGGGCGGGGACTTATTAAAGTATACAGGGATATCATATAGATACTTCTTTTACTTTTTTTTGTGTGCATTCACCAGCTATAAAATCTGGTAGAAAGTTCTGGTTGTTGTCCAGCTCTGGACTTAAGTCTTGTTTCAGAACCTGAGTTTTGCGTGTGCATCTGTTTAACAGATCTGAATTAACTGTATGCAGAGTGTTGGTTCCTTGCCTCTCAGGCAATTGCACTCCAGCTTCGAAGGAAGCTACCGATTAGTTGACTCCTATGACATGCTTGTTGGGGAAGCAGTGTGTCTATTATTGTCCCCCCCCCCCCCAACCCCACAATGGGGCCCCAGAACCCACATGGGGAATCACATACATTGATACATTCATGTGTATCATTGGGTGGGGAAATATGAAAGTATCAGGGATATCACATATACTGATACACTTATGTATAAAATTAAGAGTGGGCAAATACTGGTATATCAAGATAACACATATATTGATACATTAATGTTTAATAGGTGGGGATGTATGAGGGTGTACAGGGATAATAATATTTATATCATACAGATGGGCTGACAGATGTTCTTGTTTTCTTCTTGCCCTGTTTAAGTAAACACAAACTCAGCAAACAGTCAGCATGCACACATATATCATGCTAATTATGTTCCAATGCATGCATTAACATGTTTAGTCTGTCATTAAATACATTCCAAACATGGAGAAAACACATCAACAAGGCAGCGACTAAAACCAGAAGGAAGATAGTTATCCTGAGAAAACTGAATGTAACAACTAGAGTTGCTAGAGCGGAGGATACTTAGGAAAATTTATAAACAAAGTGTAATGACCACACATTGAACATGAATCAAGAGCATAGAGTTCCGCATCAAAATCCACACAACATAAGTTAGACAAGGTGCAAAAATCAAACACTCAGAGTCATAACAGTGGAAATTAAATCAATACCTCTAGCTGTAATGGAAAGGACAGTGATGACTCTAACAATGACAGAACACAAAGACAACAAGATACTAATACAAGCAGAAAAGTTTCTTAGCATGCCTGAACAC